TTGTTTTTTCCTATAAATTTTTTTATTCTTATCTAAATTTCCACAATCAAACAAAACATAATTTTTTCAAGTTTCTAGAAATCGACCAAAACATTACAATTACAAACTCCTTGGAAAAATATCAAAACAAAACAAAAAATTTTATTTATTTAACTCTCGATTGTGTGATTTATTTCAAGACAAAACATAGCATTTTTCATTATTTTAAGCTCTTGCATACCTCGATTGAGGAATATAAAAACTTGCGAGACAAATTTTTTTATCATGATTGATTGAAAAACCAGATTAAAAGACCAATAACGTAAAAAGATCAAATATATGTGAACGATTATGAACATTAAAAATGACACCTGAATTTAGATATAAATGATAAAAAAATTATTACCAAACATGGACGTAGATGATTGAAGAAGGAATGATTTTCCAAGCTATAGAGCGGAGAGGGGGTAAAAAAAAAGATGAAACGTAATTGATACAAAAAAACAACGAAAGAGGAGAGCATCGGAATTCATGACCTAGATCATGAGTGATTTTGATTACAAAGAAACGTTTTGCAATGATGTCAAAAAGTCTTCCTTGCATGTTGTGTTTAATAGAATGGCGCGGCTATGAAATCAAAAGTAAGTGATTTCCTTTTGATTAAGATTTATTTGCGGGTGGCCTCCAGTAATCAATGGCAATGGCAATGGCATGAACGTTATCAATACTTTTGTCGAGTTCCTTGAGGAACTCATGGTAAGAGTAGATTGCTTCTTCTTCAAGGTACCTAACAAACGATGGGCGAACTTCGGAGATTAGGTATCCAAGTTTATTCTGATATTGTTTTTTGGAATTTTGGTTTTGAGGTGTTTTCAACCCATGTTCTTCTGGAGTTTCAATAAGGTTGGTCCGTTTCTTTAATGATTAGTTTGATTTGTGAAAGCTTTATTAAGTTTTTAGGTTCGTGACTTTTTTTTTAACGTCTTGCATCTTCATTAATTGGAAAAAACGGAATTGTAATCCTCATTGAGGAAATGTACAAAGAATCGAGGGACATAGTAAAAATATTAGCACATGTTTTATTTTTATATAAATTAGCACATGTTTCGTAGAAGCATGGCAGGAATTACTTGACTAAGGAGGTAACTACATATTAGGATTTTCGATTCTTTTAATGACTATTGTTGAAACTATTATTTATAGTGTTTCTCACTACGGAGTCCTTGAGTCCATCACAAAAGAAGGCATGATCCACATGCCCTACGGAGTTTACGAAGCATTTTTTTGGTTTTTTCGCCATAAAAATATTCAAGATCTTGTGACTTAAAACTATATAGTCTTTTTTCTTTTTGGTCAATATAGTTTTTAATTTATATGATGTGGTCATGCAAGAAAGATATATTGTGATAGTTAAAAATGTATTGAAGCGCCATTGATTCTGGTGCCATTGGGGGGGATCCAAGTGAGTTTTAGTTAAATGTATCAGCGTGGCCCTCCTTCATACTTTTTTTTTACTATCTTTCGAAACTTCTTTCTCTGAATGTTTCAAAAATCAAGATGAAAGCAAGCATTAAAAACTTTTGTTTTCTTGAATAATGTCTCATCTATTTGATTAGTGTTTTAATCAATTGTTTGCTTTAAAAGAATAATGTCTCATCTATTTGATTAGTGTTTTAATCAATTCGATCTATCTTCCAGATATGAGAATAAAAAGCTAGCGGGGAAGGTTGTTATTTGCTTTAAAAGCAAATAGTCCAGCTAAGCGAAAGATACCAAAAAATCACATGAAAGTAATATATGATCCTATGTAGCAGACGTATAAACAAGAGGAGTTAAGTTTCTATAACAAAGTTCGTCCACGGTTACAAATCAAAAGCGACATTCGCAACACATGTTAACTGCAATGATATAAGAAGAGGAAATCTAACTTCTATTTTATAAGGTAAGGAATACTTTCGTTATATTTGTATAAAATTTTATATACTAGAAAATAGTATTC